TAAAATGCATCACAGAATGAAGTTTCAATAATTTGATAATTTTATTGCGTAACAAACAAGTCCGATAAATTTTGAGTTTAAGATTGATTTTTTTCTTGCAAATCACCGTTTATTCTTACATCTAAAAATGCAGAATACATATGCAACCATAATTTCTTAGACTGATGTAACTTAACGCAAAGCATAAAAAATAGAGCTTTGACATCAATAAAAAAATTGTACAAATCACATTGAAAATATCACAACGTTAATTTTTTGATGAAGATTTCTTATGCGAACCGCATCTTTTGAATATTCGCCAATCTTGGCGTACTAAAATACGCGCGCAATTAAATTATACTATCCAGGTGATAAATTTATGCTCATCGGTCGTTGCCTTTTGTAATAAAATCTTATGGAAAGAGAGAGAAAGAGAGAGATAAGATAACGATCAGGCACAATTTCGCAAATTCCAAAAAAATTATTAAATTGTTATTGATTATATGTAGCAAAGATCGAATATTTAATTTTAATATTGAAATATCTTATCAATTCAGATGTACGATCAAAAATTTAATTATATTGATTACGTTAGTTCCCACTTCACAGCCAGATTAAGCGTATCAGCTTTTACGAAATACAGAACTTTTCCCCCTCTGGAAAAGTTCTCAGGCGGATAATTGATGAATCAAATGCTATCGCGTACTCCGTTTAATGCACCGACAATTACGTCACCTATGCTATATCGAAAAGAACGCACGTGACCAGAATTATGTTGCAAGTGTGGAATTTCTCGCGAATCTATCGGAAAAGAATTTTCAACGATAATCAATCCTAAGAGTATCCTTCAACCTACCGTTTGCATATAGTTATACAATAATGTCTACACAATATGATGTAAATAAACAGATGTCGAATTACTGGAGCGGCAGTTACTGCCATTACGATATTAATCCTAAAGGGGAAAAGTAAACTTGCAACGTAAGTGCGCTCATGTAATAGAATCTATATAAAAAAAATTTTTCATTGAAAAAAATTTTACCAAAATTCTAAAATCGTTTTCCAAAATATTCTATTAAAAAAAGGATTTTAAATTTATTTTTTGCTCATAAATATAAGATTAATATTTAATAAATTTGAAAAATATAGATTAAAAAATAGTTTGAAAAATATCGATTTTTTTTCTATCGCTTCTTAAGATTAAATTTCTTCGATATTCGTGTGATACAATTTGCGTTACGCGAATCGCGACGAAGATCTTAGAAAGTTCTGCGATGTATGCGCAACACGTTTTTCCCATTTCCCTTTTATTTTCCGACCGTCAATCACACTGTCACTTTGTATCTTCTTCGATATTCAGACGGATATAATTGCGGATCGATAAAATAAGCAAATTGCTATCCATGACGTAGCCGTTTTCACATGAGAATGTCAAAGGAAATCGTACATATATAAAGAAAAA